GCTGGGGTAATGGGAGTAAGTGCGTTGGAGACAATAAAATTGACTCAAGAGGGAGCAGGGTTCAGAGCTGTTGTGCATAAGGTCACACTCAACGGCACATAACAACAACATTTACCTAAAAAAAAGAAGAAAATACAGTGTATTTTCACAATCACACGTTGTTGTTGTTGTTGTTATGTGCTGTCGAGTTGCTTGCGACTCATAGCGACCCTGTGTACAATAGCCCTAAACTCTGCTCTGTCCTGTGCCAATTGCACTGTCTCTGACACTCCCATCCCGATTATCCCAGTCACTGAATCAATCCACCTCATAGAGGGCCTTCCTCTCCTACACTGTCTCTCCACCCTCCCAAGCATGATGTCCCTCTCTAAGGACCGGTCTCTCCTCACAACATGTCCAAAGTATGTTAGACGGAGCCTCAAAATCTTGCCTCTAAGGAGCCACCCGGTTTAACCCTTTCCAGGACAAATCTGTTTTCCTAGCAGTCCATGGTAATCTCAATACTCTTCTCCAGCACCACAGCTCAAAGGCATCAATTCTCCTTCTATCCTCCTTGGTCATTGTCCTACTCTCTGATGCATAACAGGTGATTGTGAAGACCATGGCCTATATCAAACGCACCTTAGTCTCCAGAGAGACACCATTGCTCTTCAGTACTTTGGAGAGGTCCCTAATAGCAGACTTTCCCATGGGAATGTGCCTTTTAATTTCCTGGCTACTGGTGCCAAGAGTGTTGACTGTGGAGCGAAGCAAACTAAAGCTGTGTACAATCTTAATCTCTTCACCACCCATCCTGATGCTGCCAATTGGTCCAGTGGTGAGAATCTTTGTCTTCTTGACATTGAGCCTCAATCCATATTGGAGGCTGCAGTCCTTGACCCTCTGCAGCAGGTGCTTCAGGTCCTCTTCAGTTTCAGCAAGCAGGGTTGTGTCATCCGCATAACACATACACACAGATTTTATTTTTCATAAAATAACAAGCAGAAAGGGTTACCTATAGAAAGAGCAGAAGGCTTTCATTTTGCTTGGATCCACAATCGATGCTTGTGAAAAGCAGAAATCAAGAAACCAAGCAACAACAACAAAACTTTTTTTAAAAAAAAAGAAACAACACATTACATTGGGGAATTTTTCAAGTGCTAAAGAACAAGGATGCCACCCACTTTGAGGATTAAAATGGATATGACCCAAGCTATGACATTTCCAATCATTTCACATACATGTGAATGTTAGTGCATAAGGAAGACGAAAGAATTAATGCATTTCATTTTATTGTTGGTAAAAATACTGACGACACCATGAACGACCCAAAGCACAAACAAATGTACCTTAGAAGAGTGCTCCTTGGAAGGGAGAATGGTGAGACTTCACTTCACATATACTTTGGGCATGTTGTCAGGAAGGACAATTTCCTGAAGATGGACACTGTGCTTGACAAAGTAGAGAGTTATTGAAAAATGAGCAAGACCCTCAATAAGACAAACTGATGTAGTATCTACAATTATGGCCTCCAACAAAACAACAATTGTGAGGATGGCACGGGATCAGGCCTTGTATTGTTCTGTGGTTCACAGACTGATGGTGAGTTAGAGCCAGCATATGGCACCCAACAAGATAGAAAAAGTGAAGGAATTAGGGCAAAGGGAACAGAAGGCAGACTCTTCTCAGAATGACTAATTTTGTATATTAGACTTCAGAACCAGGCAAATACTTCATATCATTGTAAAACAAAATTAAATTTTTAAAAGCACAATCTGAGAAAGTGAAAACAAATGAAGCACATGAACTTAACTGAGTATCAAATTATATAACCAGACAGAGGGGAACTCCTCCAAGGGGATTTTAAAACTGAAAACACGAAATAAATAACATTTTCAACTGTGTTCAGTAATCAGGTAGCTGGAAAAGATGTTGGCTGTTGGCACTGTTACTCTACATTGTTGTAATGTGCCATCTGCGACTCAGAGCAGCCCTGTGAACCATGGCTCTGAACCCTGCCCTATCCTGTGCCACCCTCAGCTCTCACACACTTGAGCCCATTGTTACAGTCACTGTCAGTCCATCTCATTAAGGATCTTCCTCTCTTACCCTAACTCTCCACCTTTCTGATTATAATACCACTCTCCAAAGACTGCCCCCCCCAACAACATTCTCACAGTATGTGAGATAGAGTTTCACCATCTTTGCCTCGGAAGAGCATCCTGGTTTCACTTTCTCTAGGACCATGCAACTCATGTTTTGATTTCTTGACTGCTGAAGCTTGTTGGCTTGGATTTGATTTTAGGGTGTTTTTTTTAAGTTCTTATATTTTAGTGATACAAACTAGATAATTACAGGTAAAATTTTATCTGAGATTTCCTTCAAAATAATCAAGTTGCAGGATGTGAGGAAGATATAGGGTGGTGGAGTTCATGCAGATCATTAGTCCTTTGAAAGAACTGGGTCTAGGAGTCATTTGTTTTCTTTACTCTTCTTTGTTCTGGACAGGAAAATACCAATACTTGCTCCTGAGATGCCTGTCACAAGCTTTTAAAAGCCACATCATGTCTCACCAAAGTAGGATGTAGAACATTGCTTTTGTGGGCAATGCTGTTCCATTGAACTTGATCTCCCCAAGGCAGGGTCCTGAGACCCTAAGACTAGCAACTTATGTCCTCAAGGTGTTTGGTTACAATTAAGTTTATATCAAGGTGTCTGTAGGTTGTTGGCTCTACCATAAACATAGATGTATTTACAGCATATACAAATATACATGTATATCTTGGGTTCAGTTGTCTGGTGACACAAAATCAATAAAGTTTACATACACACACAGAAAGATTTTTTTTCAAGGAAATGGCTCACATGCTTATAGAAGCTGGCATGCCCCAGGTCTGTAGGTCAGATCTCAAGAGAGAAACATCTGAAAAGGCGTATGAGTCTAAATCATCACCAGGCAGATAGGTCCTCAGACTGTTGGCTTTGCAGGCTGACAAATCCAAAAGTCATTGCGCAGGGTCATGAATGACTGACTTTGGTGCACTGTATACGTATTATAACTGATAGTGCAAGATAGTACATATAGTAATGCTTTGTTAAATATCTGCATTACTTGTGTACCTCTCCTTGTCTTGCTTTTTTTCTATCTTCCCTTTTTCTAAGGATGGGTCTATCTTGGGGCTCCAGCATCTATAATATTAAATCCCACGGGACTCCAGATTACACCTGGTAAAATACTGAGAGTGGGAAGGGACATTGACTAGTGTCTCCAGACTCTTTTCCTCAGTCATTTTACTATCTCCAGGCGAAGAGTTTGACTCCAGTTCCAGGTACTATCTGTGGACAATACCTGGTATAGCCTCCTCTTCATTTCCTTCATGAGAAAAAAGCACAACAGGCTAACTTCTGGACTTCCCTTGACAATGTGAAAAAGTGCTCCCTTTGGCAATGCTTTGGGTAATGCCCAACTTGTATCTTAACTGAAACCCACAGACCAACGCAGGCACTGAGAGGAAGTGGGTAACAGACTAAGACAACTTGAGCCACAGGGTAGAACATTGATGAAGTTAGAAGTAATGACTTTCCAGGCTGGCCATGTCAAGTTTCAAGCCTCTGGGCCTCACTGTCACAGCATTCCAGGCAAACTCCATTTGATTGCACTGCATGGTTATTGCCTTTTTAACAAACGCAAAATTTTTTGTGACAGTCCTGCATCAAGCAAGTCTATCAGAACCATGTGTCCAATACCACATGTTCATTTTGTGTCTTTGTCACATTTTGCAATTCTTACAGTCTTTCAAACTTGACAAACTAGAGTGAGGTGTAAAAATAACTTTTAAATGCACTCACTCACTGACATCAAATCAGAACTGACTCATAGCTAACCCTCCACTGGGTTTCTGAGGCTGTAAACTGAGGAGAGATTGCCCCTTGGAGCAGCTAGTGGATCTGAGCTGCCAGCGATGCTCAACCCTAGATTAGCAGTGCAGCCTCTGTGGATTACACCCCCCAGGGCTCCCTTGAAACACACTGTTGTTGTTGTGATTGTTGTGTCCTATTGAGTCAGAACCAACTCATAGCAGACCCTCCAGTGGGTTTTCAGAGGCTGTAAACTGCACTTGTCCATCTTTCTCCCACAAAGCGGCTGCTGGATTCAAACTGCTTGCTTTTGGGTTGGTGGTCCAACTGCACTGAGAAACCAAAACTTCTGTGTGACTCACTTTATTTCAGTATTTTCTTTATTAAAATGGTGTGAAACTCAACTATTATGACTGTATTGTCTTGGAGCTGTGCCCCGACTGGCTAATTGATTTTTGGGTTTTTTCTAACCTTGTTGACACAGTTATGGGATCTACTGTGACTGCTCTTGGGTGTAGTCAGTGCCTCGTCTCCTCCTTCCACATTTCAGTCATAAGAGAAATGAAAAGTGCTTTAAAACTGTGAGGTACTGTGTTAAGTTATGGTTAGAAGTTACTGCTTCTTGGTTCCCAGGACAAAATCTCTCTGTCTCAATATCTTCTAGATCCAGCTGCCCTAAAAGCCAACAACACATTGTTGTCAAGACAGAACCAACCCAAAACTGACCCTCCATCGGGTTATCAGAAGCAGTAAATTGCATGGGAGGAGATTGCCCATTCTTCTCTCAAAGAGCATCTGGTGATTCAAACCATGTACCTTAGGGATTACAGTGCAGCTTCACATTAGGATCTTAAAAAGCAGGGAGGCAAGGGCTCAAAGAACCCCATTAACAAAAGGAGATGCTCCTTGAGGAAGTCTCTTCTAGGTCTGAAGTGTGATGTTCATAACAGCTTACCAGTGTTCACGTGTCTGCCTGAGAAATCAGCCTTCCACAGAAGCTTCCCCCTCAGTCAGATTTGGTCCTTTTTAAATGGAGAGTGCTCGAAAACTTTTCAGGTCTTTGCCTAGTGCACCTTTTTATCTGTCTCTCTTTCTTGTCTGTCTCTTACCCCCATCCTCTAGACCTGCCCCTGCTAATTACTCATGCTCTGTCTGGCTCACAGAGACTCCGAGAGTGTGGTGGACATGGCGTTCCTGGGCACGCGGGCTGGCCTTCTTAGAAGAGGCTTGTTTGTGGGCTCTGAGAAAGTCTCTGACAAGTAAGTCCTGCTCACTAGCTTAGGGAGTGGGGACCCCTGCAAGGGCAGCAAAGGACAAAGTCCTCAGTTGTGTCCCTGTGCCACATGGAGAGGCAGGCCTGGACTGTCGTGCACTGGGCCTATGGTACTGGGAAACCAGGGCTGGTGGAAGAGCTGGGATTCATAAACTAGAGAATAAGGAAATAACCCTCCACCAGGGCTTAGATGCATCCCGGAGGGCCTCGGAAGAGAGAGGGTGGTCAATGATGGAGGAGAGTTGCTGAGAGCTAGACTCACTTCCATGGAGGGAAATTTAGAATTTATTTTCCCTAATGAGACGGGTCTCAGTGACAAGCTGCATCTTCCCACTTTACCCTCTCCTTTGCTCAGACTTTCTCCATCCCCCAAGGGGAAGGAGCTACCACCTCAGCCCAATAGATGGAGTCTTTTCAGACAATCCACTTCTTCCCTGGCAGCAGGATATCTGCAATACTTATGTTAATCTGATAGGATTCCAGGTCCAACTCCCTCTAGATCCTAAACGAGCAATTTTTCCTGGTAATAATTTTACAAGTTCCCATTCTTCCCTCTAGGGACACCTGGCAGTATCTGGAGATGTTTTGATTGCCACCCTGGGGGAGGGATACTACTGGCATCTAGTGGGTAGAGATCAGGGATACTGTTAAACATCCCACAGTGCACAGTGCAGCCCTCACGATGAAGAAGTCCTACTCTAACCAAATCCCAGATTCAGAGGGGAGTCTCAAGGGCTCACTGGGCTGCAGAGGGCATTCACCTCCCTGGCAGCAAAGGAGAATGGGAGCCTGGAGAAGTGTTCTAGGGAGGGGAGGAAGCACCTGCCTGCCACTCCACACCAAGAGGCTGCAGCAGGTCAGACAACTAGACACCTGGAGGAGGACTGCTGAGTGCTTACCCAGTATATCTGACACCACCGCCCCTGCCTTCCACCCACACACTGCTTCTCACACGAAACCCAAGTGCACTTAGCCACAGAGCACCATGTTTTGAGATTCTTCCAGGATTCTATGACAGATCTACACTTGCTAAGCAAAGTTGAGGCATTTGAGGAAAACAACTTGGGCTTCTCTTCTCTCTCCTTCCTTCCTTCTTTCCTCTTCACCTCCCCTCATTGCATAACAAGTGGAAACAGGGAAGCTCTCTGTGGACCTGATCTGTCCAACTCCTCTTCTCTATAAGAGACCTAGCAAATGACTCCAACCAAAGGGCCAGAGCCAGTGCACATACTGTGGATTCATCTCAAGGTGAATCCTTCTGCAAGGCTCACCGCCTCCTCCAGCTTACCACACCTCATGCTTCCTCAGTCCTTTTTGTGTTTCCATGCCGGTATTTTCCACTCCCATCAGAAAATCACATGCTCATCCACGTCTTTGCCTGGCAAGGGCTGGACAGAATAAACCATTTCTGAGTGGAAAGAGGATGGAAATAGTCTTAAGATTCCTCCTCTAGTTTCCCTAAAGAGATTCTAAGAGGCAGAGAAAGGGCTGTCAACAGATTGACCTTGCTGAGCTGCCAGAGGCTTTTACCTCCTCCTATGAGCACAGCCTCCATGTATGACTGCACTTGCCCCACACACCTCCAGAGGGCGCTTTCACTTCGACAGTGACATGACAGGCCGAGGTCTGCGGAAGGAATATGTAGGTCAATCACTCCTAAATCTCAGCTGTCCACCTTGTGGTTCACCCATGGTAACTTTTTTTAATCCCCCACTAGCTTCGCCCTCCCTCCCACTCTGATTCTGAACCAACACTCCCTTCTTCTGTCAGCTGGTGTGTGTGCAGGGAATGCAGAGCCATAATTAGTAAGGCAAAGCTGCTCAAAAGAGAGAGAACACGTACAACGCATTCTAAAACCTCGAGGCAATGGTTTGGGGAGTAACCATTTGAAAGAGTTTATGGCCCTCTCTTCGTGCAATGATGTGAGTTGGCTATACAATTTACTTGCTCAAATATTCCAGTTTACCAGCCAAAAAGAGATTAGGCTATATAACAAAAAGCAAACAAACCAAAAAAACCAACACACAACAACAACAACAAAAACAAACCAAAAAAACCCTACAGGCAGAGGAATTAACATACCAATAGCCATACTACATCTTCTAGCTACTAATGTGGCTAATCAGTTTCAATATAATTTTGATTCTGAAAAAAGGCCAGAATTGCTAGGCAACATTTCCTAGGGCAATACTCATTTAACATTCTTTCCAAATAACAGGCTGTCATAGTCCAATGATAGTTTTCTCCTCTGTCAAGCAGGTGCCCCAAGTGTGATGCCCTTCAATGAGCCTCACACGCAGCCACTGTCAGTGACCCATCTGTCAGTGAAAACTTGCTTGTTGCTGAGTGAGTTTTAGCAGAGCTTCTAGACTAAGACAGACTAGGAAGAAAGGTCAGGCTATCTAATTCTGAAAACCAGTCGACACCAGCCTTGTGGATCATAACGTGTAATCATACTGTGTGCGGAGTTGCCATCTGCTGGAACCCACTTTGTGACAACTAAAACCGACAGCAGTATTTCCAAGCAATCTCAAAAAGTGTTGCTGTGTTGGCCCAGCCAAGGCGGATGTGGTAGGAGAAAAGAGTGAATGAAATGAAGTTCTAGATTTGTAAAAAGTTACCAATTTTTCTCCTTGCAGGAAGTTCCTAACTCCTGAAGACAAGGCCAGCATATTCACCATGGACCGCTTCCCTCTGTGGTACCGCCAGGCTGCTGAGCAGCCGGCTGGCAGCTTTGTCTTCAATCTCCGCTCCACAGAAGCCCCAGGTAATCTGCACACCTGTGCTCTGGGGCAGAGGCCAAGAGTGGGGTGCCCTCTGCTTTCTTCGAACTAGATAGTGAGGAGAGATGGGTTCCAGATGCCCTGGGTTCCCTCCTGACACACTTTAGTCACTTGAGAAGGTCAATCATGGCCGAAATAAGATCTGATCATTTCACTCCTGACCCAGCATCAGAGTTGGCATTTAAAATCCCAGCATGCAACTAAGGAAAGAAGTTGGACCCAAAAGTTAGGAGAGTTGGATTCTTCTAGTCCAAATACCAGATCTGAGGGGAAATGGGAGAGTTGATATCTAAAGATCTGGCTGTCTTTAAAAATCTGAATATCATAGAAAGTTCCTTAAATTGGATGAGAGTAACCATAGGAGCTCCTGTCCTTTCAAGTCTCCAATGCCACCATGCCTTTGCCCAAACAGAAAGAAAGCCACCTATTGACCACCCTTTCAAGAGTCTTCCCAGAGCCAGCAACCCCGAGCACTCCTGTCCAGCCTTCCAGCCCTGGGGAAATTCCCCATCAATGGAGCCCCTCACTGCTGGTAGGAAGAACGGTGTGCAGACAGACAGCAGGTGGCTGAGGGGGTGAGGAATGACAGCCAACATTTGGCTCCAAGCAAGCCAGGCAGAATCCTCCAAAGTCAAAGACCAGGAAGATTTCTTCAGAGCTGGTGGGCACCCAACTCCAGTCTCCAGCCTCCACTCTGGAAAATGGCCAAGAGGAGAAAAAGAAATAAATAGAAAACCATGAAGAAAAACCACAAAACAGTTAGCAACAGAAGGTACCTCTGAGCCCATTTGGCCTTCCTCAACTTGACTGGGATGTGGAGGGGCCGAGGCCCTGAAGGATTGTCTAGCAACCTGTGACTCTGACACAAAGCAAGCCTTCCATCTCGTTATATTTCTGGGGGAAGCGGGTGCTGATTGAGGCCATGGTGGAGCCAGAGCGCCTACAAAGTTTCCACATCCTGGTGGGAGGAAGGACTTGTAGGAGGTGAGACATTCAAAAGCAAAGGGGTGAGCTGGGAGTCAAATTGTAATGAAGTGTTACACCAAGGAGCCTAATGGTGAAACAGTTAAACACAGGTCTGCTCTCTGAAACGTTGGTAGTTCCAACCCACTTAGTGGCTTTATGGGAGAAAGTCCTGCCCATCTGTTGTTGTAAAGATTACCACCCGCTGCCAGCTAGTAGATTCTGGTTCCTGCAGGCCCTCCCTTGGGTTTCTGAATCTGTAAATCTTTGCAGGAAGAGACTTCTCATCTTCCTCCTGCAGAGCTCCTGGTGGGTTCGAACCACTGAATAGCAGCAGAATACATAACCTACTGCACCACACCTTAGGAAACAAGGAAGGGGCAATTCTACTGTCACCCAGAGTGACTGTCAGTGAAAAGCAATTCAACTGCACTAACAATTACTAGATGTGCCTTTCTTTCCAACAAAACTACTGCTCCCACTAAAACTATCTTCTAGACTCCTGTGGGCAGCAGAAAATAGGGAGGTGATCTGATGAAGGGGGTCACCTGGTGCCCTCCAAGTGCCTCTGCCCATATGTACACCTATCTCTATCATCTTATGTTTAGCCTTCACCCCGTATACCTATAACTACTACGCTTTCTACAACAGTTTCTTGTCGAACATCAGTCATCTGCACAACCTCGTGATATTGATGCTGTTGTCACCCTTCATTTAACACAGAGAAAATGCAAACTCTTAACTGCCACTGAGGCAGACTCAGCACAGAACAGACTTACCATTGCATTTCCAAGGCTATACATTGTACAGGAAGAGAGTGCTCATCTTTCGCCCTCAGAGCCACTGGTAGACTAAAGCCCCCATAGAAACACAAACTTTGGATTATCAGAGCAAATCCCTATGGGCTAGACCACCAGAGCTCTATACTGAGAAACTGAGGCATTCAGGAGGTTCCATGACCTGCCCAGGATCATCCACAGAGGGAGCTACTGAGCCAGCCTAGAACCAGCATTTGCTCCAAGCTCTCCTCTGCACTGAGTGCAGAGCAAGAGATGGGGAGAGGAAGGGGTGTTTTCATCTCAGTGAAAGCCCACAAGGGTGGTTCTCAAAGCCTAGGTAAAGGCCTCCTCCCTCCCTGTGCATGCTGGGCCAGAAAGAGCCAACTCTTCTTGCCTGGAGCAGCACAAAGGGCCTCCCAAGGAGGGGCTCCCCACAGGGTCCTGGGGAGATTCCCTGGGGTAAGTCCTGGCCTCCACACCCAAGCCTGCGGTGATGGGCCCCCTCCTGCCTGTACTGTCACCGGGACTAAGCCTGCTGGCTGCTGGGGAGCTTTTTGTGGTGGAGAGGTAGGAGGGTGGGTGGGTGGGGAACTGAGCCATAGGGAGAAGAAAGAGAAGCTGGCAACCCCAAAAGGGGGCTGTGGAGCAGGGAAGCAGGAGCTTGCTCTCTTTTCACACCCTCACTCACTTGCTTAGCTCACATACACGCTCAGAGACATGTGGCCACCCCTGCACACTCCCATCCACCTCAAAAGAGAGGAAACAACAACACTTTCACTTTCCTGGGGGACAACTGAGACAGAGGAGAGGCGATGAGCTGGCTGCAGGATGAGTGGAGGCTCCCCAGATGCCTCTTCAGGCTGACACTGGTACCTTTGCCTGGGGTCTGGTGGGCTGAGCTCGGCCCACGCAGAGCTGTCTTTTGCAGCCAGAGTTTGCAAAACCTGCCAGCAAATGGCAGTGGTCCACCAGGGCCCAGGTGGCACAGGCCTATAGCTCCTCCCTCTACCTCCTACCTCTTCCAGCGTGGCTGCTGGACAGTGCCAGGCTCGTTCACTTCAGGTGTGGGGCCAGGTCCTGAGATTCCTGCTGCTGCAGAGAAAGCATCGTTAGGATGGCACACCCTCACTTGGGGTCTCCCATAAGCTTCCGGACCCAGGGAATACTGCAGGGGGTCAGCCGCAGCAGCATCTTCTGGACACAAGTGAGGAACTGACTGCTGCATCTGTTGTGTCCCTTTAGCCCATTGATCATGACACATTCCCAGAATCAAGGACAACCTTATACATACCACCAAAGTAATTTCAGCCTTCTATGATATATTCAGGGAACTCTGGTGGCCTAGTGGCAAGGAGCTCTGCTGCCATCCCACAAAGGCTCAAGGTTTGAATCCACCACATGTTCCATGCAAGAAAGATTTACAATCTCCTTGCATGCAATCTGCTGCCTCTGAAAACCCACTGGAGGGTCAGCTGTGAGTTGGATCTGACTCAGTGGTACACAACAACCATAGTAGCCTAGTGGGCAAGAAGCTGTGTTGTCAACCCAAAAGCAAGAAGTTCAAATCCACCAGCTGCTGTGCGGGAGAAAGATGGACAATCTCATGTGTGATTTTCAGCCTATGAAAACTCACTAGAAGGTCAGCTGTGAGTTGGTTCCAGCTCCATGGCACATAACAACAACATGAGAAATTTCATTTCAAGGTGTGATGTGCGTTCTCAGTAATATAACTGGCTGCTATCCAATTGATTCAAATTCTTAGCACACTCATGAGTGTCAGAATAGAACTGTGTCTCTGGGGTTTACAACGGCTTAAAGACCTTTTTGAAGGTGTCTCTGGGCCTTTGCTAAGAGACACCTCTGGATAGAATGGAGCATGTAGCCTTGCAGTTATCAGCCAAGCATACTAATAAGAGTTGGTATGACACCGGGACGTGATAGAAACCAGTAGTTTATAGCCTTTCTAACAGGCACTATTAAAATATCAGTCTCCACATAAGGTTCTCTTGACTAGCTTGTTTCATACAATGTTTGCTATGAAAACCGTATAGCAAAATAGCATATCCCATGATAAAATGTGGAACCTGCCTTGGAATTTTTGGTAATGGAATTTGGCCTACAGATAAGACTTCCCTCTCCTCACTGCCTTTGGGTAAAGAGTCAACTCATGGCTGACCCTCCAGCAGGGTTCCATAGGCTGTAAATCACACAGGAGGAAAGGGCCCACCTTTCTCCTGTGCTGCAGATGGTAGATTCAAACCACCTGCCTTTGGATTGGCATCTTGACTCCTTACCCATTGGGCCATCAGAGCTCCCTTGTCAATAAGAATGCTTTGAAGAGTGCAGGATTGTGAACTGGTGACACCTACGAAGTCTAAGGTTATATACTGACTACCTCAGAGCTGGAGACTGTTTTCATGTTGAGCTAAAACCACTCCCCAGATGTGGCACTTGGTACTTCACAACAACAGTGTAGTGGTTGTTCAGTGATAGAATTCTTACCTTCCACAGGGGAGACCTGGATGGAGACCTGCTTGCATATTGGCTTGATGTACCTCCTGAATAACCATCACCTGTTGTTAGTGGAGGTTTTCAAATCATTATGATGTTGAACAGGTTTCAAGAGGAGCTTTCAGGCTAAGACAAACAAGGAAGAAAGGCTTGGCGATACATTTCCAAGAGCCAGTCAAAGCCAGCAAGATCACAGCAGTCTGATCCTGATCACCATAAATCAGGGGACAACTTGAGGACAGCTAACAGCAACAACGATAATTAATGGCACAGTTCTTAAAAAGAAGTAAAAAAGCAATTCTAGACAAGCCTTCTTGCCCTTCAGAAGCCTGGCAAGGTGTCACAGGATTTATGGAGTGCCGTGGTTCCATAGCACAGACACCGTTCAGCCTTCTGTGCAGATCTGATCCTGCCAGATGAATATGTGGCATCTGGCTTCCTGAGCAGGACTGTAGTGTCACCTATGAGTCAGGCTCCCTGAGAAAGGCTGACCCAGGATCACCCACCACCTAGGCCTGGCATTCAGCCTATCCACCCCTCAAAGGCTCATTTGATGCCACATGAGTCTTGTGAAGAAGAGCTGTTTAGGGGGTGGGACCGAGGAGGGGGCCACTGTGAATCCATGCTGGTGCTGCTGAGCACTGAAGTGGAAAGCAATGAGCAGAAGCAGGCTTAAAGAATTACTAATAATGGTCTGTCCTCAAACAAGAAAAATAAATCATGGTGTCATCATGACACTGACATACCACATTGTTCATGCAACCAGAGACCACATACTTCTCTAATAAATCCAGATCTACACAGAAAGGCCACAGACAGCATTTGACCCCCAGAAGGAGCTCCCTAAAGACAGGTGGTGATAGGACTAACCCATCGCAGTAACTATAGAAACCCACTCCCACGCCCTGCCGTCATCGCAATCCCATGTCCCAGAGTAGAGCTGCACTCTATAGAGTTTTCAATGGTTGCTTTCTGGGAATTTGATCACCAGGTGTCTCTTCTGTGGCACCTCCAGGTAGACTTGCATGTCATACGTTACTTGTCTTCTATTCCAAGAAAGAGGGTGCCCTGGTGGCTCAGTGATAAGGACCTGCACTGCCAACCCAAATGGGTCATCTCCTCCCATGCAATTAAACTGCCTTTGAAAATTCGCTAGAGGGTCAACCATGGGTTGGTTCCTACACAAGGGTATACAACAACCACAACATTCCAAGATGAGGCAGGGCTTAGCCTACTCAAGCTACTCTCCCCTAAGCACTTAGAAAATGACTCCACAATTTCTGTTTCCCTAGAAAGTCCAGGCCAGCCAGCAGTAGTAACAGTGAGCACAGCTGTGTCCGTGACCGTGGACAAGAAGACAGCCATTGCTGCAGGTAAGAGCTGCCCTTTGGCACCCCTGAGATGGAGTCAAGGTCAAGAATAAGGTCAAGAATAAGAGTAATCTGTATGTTTTCTCAAGCATAATGTATGAATGAAGGGGTGTGGAACCTTCCTAAATCATTTCATTTGCAAAACTGTAAAGCTAAAACAGTTGAAACCCTGCAATATGAAGGAATCTGTTCAAGGTCACGCAAAATAGAAGTTATAACAGTCTCTGGTGTCTCACTGAGGGAAAACCTGGTTTGTGACCCAAATCCTAGAAGTAAGAGCTTTATCTGTGAGCTCAGTAAGTGCCTGTTAAGTGCTTCCCAGGCCTTTCCTCATTTTACCCTCATGGGGACTCAATGAATGCGATATTTTACTGCCTCATTTCACAGATGAGGAAACGAAGACACAGAAACCTTATGTGCATGAAATCCCACGATTAATAATTAATGCAGCTCAAATTTGAACTCAAATTCTTTCTCTCTAGGGCCTAGGTTTACTACCTTGTGCACCAATTTGCTGTAACCTGTGCTATAGAGGAACTTAATGATCTCACAAGCCTCCCCCAAACATTGTCATTTCTTGGTGCCTAGAAAGTCCTGTGTGGTGAAGCCCTCCTTATTCTGATTTCCACTTCTATGACCTAGACTCAGAGATTTTCTGAAATTGTACTTAACCTAAGAAGCATATGCCAAATACAAACAACACCCAGTTGCTTTCAAGTCAATTCTTAACTCATCGTGACCACATGTGTGTCAGAATAGAACTGTGTGTCAAAAGCTTTTCTTTCTGGTTTCCCCCCATAAATCCTCTCTCTTCCAAGGCCTGTCTTGGTAGACTCATACCTGGTTCATCAATCAATTGCATCTCCAGTTTTGTTTTGGAGTACTGTTGAGTTGATTTACCACAAGGTGATGCCAAGTGAGAAGCAGGTCTGCTCCCCAGAGTTTCCTAGGTTGGAATCTTTACTGAAGCAGACCACAAGGGTCTTTCTCTGTGGAGCAACTGATGGACTTCAACTGTCAATCTTTCAGCAAGCAGCCAAGTGCTTAACTATTGTACTACTAGAGTTTCTTGCATCTCCCAGGAGACTCCTACTAGTCATTCAAGTGTTAGCAATCATGGATCTATGAATCTGGCTACTGGGCATTGTCTTGAACTCCACATCAACTCTTAGACTCATTAAAAGGACTTGCACAACTGGAAAGAGATGAAACTGATAACATGCTTTTTCCCTCAGATTGCCCTGGGGCAAAGAACATGAAAGGAGCCGAATGAGTTCGGGTACAGATAATAAAGATTTATCCTCTTGCCTACAAGAAGAGTACACAAGAGCCCTCATGAGCTAGGCTCATAGACGTTTCCCCACCTTGGGAACAGAGATAGAAAAGGATGCCCTGGCCTAGTATTATTGCCCACCATCCTAGTCAGCAAGCACTTACATCACTGATTGTCTTCAGGATGATCTTGCTGGGTCGTAATCTCCAGGGATTTTCTGCCATTGTTTGTTCTCCGAAGGACTCACAAATTATCTTCATTTCTCTACCTGGGAATATCTTAATTTTACCACTGTAATTGTAATGGGTTCGCTTTCATAATTAAAAAAGTAATTTCTAGATCCATCTTGAAGTACAACATTGTGAGTGATGGGATTATATCCATGTGCTTACAAGGATGTCCAATGAATACCACTATCATTCAGATATATGCACCAACAACCAAAGCCAAAGAAGAAGAAATAGATGACTTCTACCAACTTTTACAGTTGGAGATCGATCAAACTTGCAATCAAGATGCATTGATAATAATGGGTGACTGGAACGCAAAAGTTGGGAACAAAGAAGAAGAATCAGTAGTTGGAAAACATGGGCTTGGTGACAGAAATGAAGCTGGAGATAGAATGATTGAATTTTGTACAATCAATGACTT